GAAGAACTGACACTTCCTTCGATAACAAACGCAAAATCACCATTTTTATTGAATATGCGGTTATCCCATTTGTCTCCTAGTACAGATTCTAAGTCCTTATTTTAAAGATACGATAAACGGACTTCCCGCGTTCTTGTTTTGAGTTCTCAACTACAGCGAGTCCTTCATCAAATACGAGTACTGGCCGGGTCATCTTTTTATACAGAATACAACCTTCGCTCAATCGCACGATAATATTCTCCATAACTAAAATCTTTTCTGTCCATAAGAGAAGCCGTTGATGGTATCTTATAAAGGTTCTAAACGCGGAAAAACTCGCTTTAGTTTTATCCCCTTCATAACAACAAGACCTCCACTCATCGCACGAATTACTGTAGCCCACAAACTGGATTTTAACATTGTTTATAATTTTCGATCTTGGCGTTTCTTTCTAACATTTTTCGGCTTAATAACTACAGTAAAACATTCATTAATGGAGAGTTTCGGTGGCTTTCTTTGGATTACTGATTTCAGCGACTCCATGTTGCCTAATCACATCGACATCACATCACGAACGCGTTACTTCCCGCGAAATTTGATACTACAGCGCAAGCGCAATAGTGAAAAAAATGGTCGAGCGTACCTGGACACGAGTGAGAGCTAAATGTTCACGATGTATGGCAATAAGTTTGCTGACTATCATATAAACATATATGAAAGTAAATTATGGCGTGGAATACTTTTCGCTATTTTTTTATTAATTAATACAGTTACATTCTAATTGTTTATTCGCGCACCTCGATATTCTTTTCTGGGGGCTTGGTGCAACGACGTCAAAACACTAGAAATATCGAGCCAGGAGTTATATCCTATCTTTCTTAATTTTCCAAAATAGTTAGCACGACTTCACGCTCTAAGAGCTCCTAGTTACTTAAAATAAGGGTTGGGACTCCAGTCTTTTGATTATCAATGCTTAACCCAGAAATCATTGCAGGCACTACTTAACCGCGGAACGCGGTGGCAGTGAATTTTGATAACTACAAAGGGACAGGGTATTCTAAAGCTTAGCCCATAGCTATGTATAGGAACAGTGAAAATGACATATATATCGTAAAATAAATTAGCCTGCACAGTTAATTACAAATGTCTCCACCAATCGGCCATTGATGGTCAAAGTTTATGGACACTATAGTTTTTCAGGAAAGACAAAAAGAGCTACAATAAGATCACTGACCGCCATATTGGTTATTAAATAATTGGTGCTTGTTTTTAATCGATTGTCCCTAAAGACTATCAATACTATAAGGAAGTTTCCTATCAAAGCAGCAAACCTTAGAAGAAGAAAAATGCCGCAGTACATGGTTTTCTTGTCAGGAATACGGGAATGAGTAGAGTGTTTATACCGCACGCCCTGCGCTAGTTAGGCAACTAAGCAGTTGAAATGGTCCTCTCAGTCTGGTAGAATACTCCAGTATCGAGATCTTATTATTGAAGCCTTAACCTCGAAAGCATGTGATATACGTTTTCTTTTATTAAGCATAGAATCTATTGTACTTGGTAATCTCCTAAGATCAGAGGTGGTGTTCATTTTTTGTGATATTTCGCCGGTCAATTTCAACCAAATTTGTCTTTAGAAAAAGTTCCTTTTGCAATCAGAAGTTTATATGGTAGCATGACGGCGCTGTGTCTGGCATCAACCAAGGTTCAGGATCGGTCAAACGAAAATTTACCACTTATATATCACTTGTCTGGCTGTTGTGCATATGACGGAAACGTGTTTCTTGGAGACGAGAAGATCTCAATTTAAAGAAGCTGTCGATCACATCTCAAAGTAGAAGACAGAGCAATACTGTGAGACAGCATTCGTGACGATATTCCAACCGACTCTTATATTAAAACATTCATTCAACTCTAGAAAAACTTCGAATATTTTCAGATACTGCAGTCGGCCTCCATGCCAGTTATCTATTTATTTTTATAAAATTTTTGATATATAACGCGCGCTCTGATTGGCTGACGACCNTTGTATCTGGCAATTAATCTACTACTATTATTATCCCTATTTTCCTTACAAGTCATCTTGAGTACGTCGGTCTTTGCTCAGGGAAGTTCCATGATCACTGAATTATCTGAAAAAAAGACTACATTTGATATCGTTTTGTTTATTTTCATGCCTTCTTAATGTCAAAAACTGAATTTGCATTATGCAGCCTGAGAAGCATGCACAACAATCTTCAATCATTTAAATTAAGATTGTTGAACAAATGGAGATTGTTGATTGGATATTACACGACCGATTCTACGATCTTTCTTACTTGAAACCGATAAAAAAGATGTATGGAATGATATACAACGCAAATGACATGTCATATAGCCTGTTACCTTGTGACTTGGGAGGATGAATCTTGTGACCAACCACCTCTGCTATCTTGTTTTCTCTGGTAGCGAGTGGTCCTCGGGAAAGCATAACTGCTGCATCACTGCCCTCCGCATTACGCTTGCCGATCTTTTTCTTGTTGCAACCACGTGAGCACACACTTTTGGCGTCATTTCCGTTACAGGCAATCACGTGACAGTGAAAATAGACATGGCGGTATTTTCCGAGAAAGCGGAAAGCCTGGACACTAAACCTCTGCACATTTTTAGTGGGTGAGCTGAGGTACTTTAGCGTTGAATCCATGGCGCAACTACTATGATCGATCAAAACAATCTTTAGTACAAAGCTTATTGACTTTTTTATTAGAATAGTGTAATAAATCCAGGTCCTTAACCAAGGGCTAACACAAGGATGCACGTGTACCTTCCATGAATGAAAGCAAAATGTTCAGTTCAGTGACGGCGGAGCCGGGGGGAGGGGGGATCACTGGGTGCCGCCGCCCCTCCCCCCCAAATAACGGCTCAAAA